GGACAGCATGCTCCCAAACGACCAGTTGGTGAAGGGGACCACTCGTAGAGACCACTGTCGAGCCATTTTCAACCAATAATGGAAAGTCACTGACCCCTGGTCAAACCTGTTGCCTAGCAACACAGCCTTATTTAACCTTGCAATTCCCCAGGTCAGAACCTGCCCCCCCCCACCCCACACACACCTTGGTCCCTTCCCGGAGGTCACGGTTGTGATTGCTTCATGGACAGTCCTCATGGGGGATGGTTAATAGTCACCCAGAAAACTGGGGAGCCCAGAAAGGACACTGGCCTTTGCATTAGCCCTGGCTGGTTTGGCTCAGGGGATAGAGCATCAGCCATGGACTGAGGGTCCAGGGTTTGGTTCTGGTCAAGGGCACGTACCTGGGTTGCAGGTTCCCTGGCCCTAGTCAGGGTGCATGCGGGAGGCAACCAATCGATGTGTGTCTCTCATATCAGTGTTTCTCTCTGTCTCTCCCTCTCCCGTCCACTCTCTCTAAAAATCAATGGAAAGAAATCCTCGAGTGAGGATTAACAACAACAAAAAATTCCCTGGCCAGTGTCTCAGTGGTTAGAGCACTGGCCCATGCACCGAAGGGCTGTGGGTTCCATTCCCCAGCAAGGGCAGGTATCTAGTTTGTGGGTTTGATCCCGGCTCCAGTCGGGGCATGTACAGGAGCCAACCAATCCATGTATCTCTTTCACATTGACGTTTTTCTCTCTCTCCCCCATCCCCCTCTCTCTAAAAAAACAACAACAACAAAAAAAAACCAATAATGGGGAAAAAAAATATCCTCATTGAGAATTAACAACAACAAAAAAGTGATGTTACACATTGGAAGACAGGGGGGAAAAAGTAGGAATAAAGCAGAAGAGGTTGTAAGGAACGCTGAGAAAAATATGGGTAAAAATATTGGTAAAAAGCAGGAAGGGAGGATAGGAAATTCGTGGGTTTTTGTTGTTAATCCTCACAGAGGAGGTCTTTCCATCGATTTTTAGAGAGAGTGGGGAGGAGGAGGAGAGACTGACATACCAACACACCTATTGGTGGCCCAGACCAGGGCCAGGGATCAAGCTTGCAGCCTGGGCATGTGCCCTTGACCGGAATTGAACCCATGACCCTTCAGTCCACAGGCCAACTCTCTATCCACTGAGCCAAGCCGGCCAGGGCAGGAAGCTCATATCTGTAAGCACTTCCTATGTATCACGTGGTGAGTCAATGACTTATAATTATCCCCTCCGACAATAGCCGTGGTGTATGATTAACCGATCTCCACTGTGGAGATATCTGAGGCTCAGAGAGGTTGAATTCATTTATCTGAAGCCACCCATGCTGACTGGAAACCACAGCTTCCCCCTCCCCTCCCCAGGCTTTGCATTCCTTCCTGAAGGGGGCGCTCCTAGGTGAAAGGGACTCAGAACCGCAGGCCAGAACCCAGGCAGGGCCCCTGGCGTGGCTCTGGGGAGAGCCTGATCTGGCTTGTAGGCAACACGATCAAGATGAGAGGGGGGTTCAGGGGGATGGAGGTGGAAGAGATTTAGAAGTACCAATTGCCAGCCGTAAAACCCAGTCATGGGGATGTGAAGTAGAACGTAGGAAATCTACATATATAAAAGCCTAAGCGACCAGTCGACCGGTTGACTGGTCACTATGATGCACACTGACCATCAGGGGGCAGCAGAGCTGGGATGAGCAGGAGCAGCAGGCAGGAGTGGCAGGCAGGGTTGGACTGCCAGTTTCAGCCGATCCCCGCAGGCCATGCTGAGGGACCCCACTGATGCAGAAATCTGTGCACCAGGCCTCTAGTACAGTTGATAAGATTGGAATGAGTCCTATCTGGTTTGGCTCAGTGGATAGAGCATTGGCCTGGGGACTGAAGGGTCCCTGGTTCGATCCCAGTCAAGGGTCCCTGGTTTGATCCCAAGTCCCCGGTTGTTGGCTCGATCCCCAGTAGGAGGCAGCGGATCAATGATTCTCTCTCATCGTTCATGTTTCTATCTCTCTCTCTCCCTCTCCCTTCCTCTCTGAAATCAATAAAAATATATTTTAAAAATATATTGTAATGACTGTGTATGGTGCCAGGTGGGTACTAGACTTATGGAGGATCACTTCATAAGGCATACACATGTCTAATCAGAATGTTGTATGTTTGAAACGAATGCAATATTGAATGTCAACTGTAATGGAAAAATAAGTTTTAAAAAGGAGGCTATTTAATTGGAACAATGGACATCTTAATAAAACTCAGTCAATATTCTACATGGTCTTTCCTCTCACTTATTGTGTCCTTTGAGATGTTCGCTCTATATAATGCTTTATAACCTTTTGTGTAGAAGCCATACATATTTTTGTTAGATTTCTCTTGAGGTATTTAATAGTTTTTGGTTCTATTAAAATGGCATATTTCGGGGGTGGGGGTTGGGTGGAGGGGGCAAAGGAGGGTAAATGGGGGCATCTGTAATGTGTCAACAATAAAAATAAAGGAAAAAATGACACATTTTGGTCAATACTGGTATATAGAAATACACTGGAATTTAAAAATATATATTTAAATATAAATATATATGTATGTATATGTATATGTATTTATATTGATTTCAAAGAGGAAGAGATAGAAACATCAACAATGAGAGAGAACCCAGCATGTGCCCTTGACTGGAATCGAACCCAGGACCGCTTCAGACCACAGGCTGACGCTCTATCCACTGAGTCAAACCGACTAGGGCTACAGTTGAATTTTGCACATTAACCTTGAATCTACCAACTTTGAGAGGTTTGCCTATTTTAAATAATCCATCTGTAAATTATTTTGGATTGTCTATGCAAAAAAAATTATATCATCTGATAGTAAACATTTCTTTTTTTTTTCTCCAAAGAGGAAAATAAAGACATAAATAAATACTTAAAAGATGCTGAAGAGCAGGGCGAGATTTAGAAGGGAAGGCATGTAATGTCAAAAGGTGACAGACAACCTAGACCAGTAATGGCGAACCTATGACATGCATGTCAGAGGTGACACACGAACTCATTTTTTTGGTTGATTTTTCTTTGTTAAATGGCATTTAACGAACATAATTTTATGGTTGGAGGTCACCACAACGCGAGGAACTATATTAAAGGGTTGCGGCATGAGGAAGGTTGAGAACCACTGACCTAGATGGAGAGGATGAAGCCATGAGCGAACAGGTCAGCGTTTCCTAGGACATGCAGGGGGGAGTGGCAGACGGGTATCCTGAGCGAGGGCACGAGAGAGGACTCCAGAGATAAGACTCACTTGAGACAGACCCCCTCCAGTTCCAGAGCTGTTTACCTGTGAAAGTGTTCACAACGCTGACACACAGCCAGCACTTACTACCCCAGGCTCTGCTGTTTCACGCTTGTATCACCCCCACCGAACACAGAAAGTGAAGGACGCTTTTGGCCAAAGACCCTCTTGCCAAACCCTAGTTCATCAGGAGCCTTGAGTTGGTAGTTACCGGGGAATTGAAGATTCGGGGAGGAGGCCCCCTCTGACATGTGGCCCTGTGCCAATGCCTCTGGGTACTGAATAAAATGAAAAAAATTGGTCCTGACTATGTGGCTCAGTTGTTGGAACATCATCCC